AAGACCAATTTTAGTTGAACTGACTAACATCCATAATTGTGCACATGATCTAAATTTAATATATCAGATCAATTATCGCAAAATCCTGATTCAAGTTAACTTCAACTTAATATCTAGATACTTTCCCGTTCCTGGTTTTGCGCGATGACGTCGCGCAGCTACCTTATTAGACATATTAATTCTAAATGGCTTTTTTCATTAGACATTGTCTTCTTCTTTTATTGTGTCGTTTTGTTTTTGAAAAAGTATTTTAAACTGTATAATAATGCAAATTTCAATTCAAAATAATACTAATCATACAAAGTCTTCCTATGACTCCTCCTAAAAACGAGCAAGTCTTTAATTAACGTAATTATTTACTGTATAATGCATTTTATGACATATTGATATTATACAAATTTTCTATTTAAGGGAGTTTTATCAGCCCCAAAGTTTGCCAATGATCGACTTACGTTCTGCCACAGCATCGACGTCGATCATTAGCGAATTAGAATATTACAAGTGTCTCTCATTTTAGGAATTTACAATAAGAAATGGCTGCGGCAGTTACAAGATTTTTAGCCAAATAAAAAAAAAAACTATATAAGATGTGAACATTTGGGTAAAAAATGTATCAATTTAAAATCGAAATTTCAAAAATGATTGAAATACCAAACGAATGTCTTTCTGAAATATTTAATAATCTTCAAGATTGTTATAAATGGTTATTTTCATGCCTTCTAGTAAATCGTCAATGGTGTAGTAATGCTATACCAATATTATGGAGCAATCCGTTAAATGATTTTAAAGATTCGAGGATTATAAAAATTTACCTTTTGGCATTAAACGTCGAAGAACAAGCACAATTAATCCCGTATAAAATAATACTTCCTAACAGACAAAAACCATTGTTTAACTATACAACATACACTAGATCTATTGTTGATCTCAATCTTCACGAAGGAATTATACATTGGCTTTATGGTGAAGAACGTGCTATTCGTGACATACGAAATGATTATTATTATTATTATTATGATGATGATGATGAGGATATGAATATTATTCGAGCGATAAAATCTTCACTGATTTCAATGCTTCTAAGAACAAGTAAAACTCCCAAGTTTGTAGGTTTTTATGAGACTATTCATGACAAAACAATGAAGACATTATTAGAAATTTTATATAGAAGTGCTTCTATTAAAACATTAAACATTTGTATTGATAATCTTGACTCTAAAAACGGAAAAATGCTCATAGAAGCTCTTTATAAAAACAATATTTCGAAATATTTGAGGATCAATGATAATCAATTTCGTATTAAGATTGATGAAGAAAGAACAAATCGTAAGTTGAATCATATATGAATGAATTTCTTTTATTAGTTTTTTATCACATGTATTTTTTAATTGTTTATTAATTATTTTAACTGTTAATTTAGACGTTAAATTTGATTTTACAGAAAATTGGCCTTCAGTCACATATAGCAATAATGATGAAGCTAGAGGGACATACCTGATTTTACTATACCTTATCGGATCATTGCCGACACCATCAACATCAACTGATATAGTAATACCAAAATGCAATAAAATTGAAATCGTATGTGAATCTCACGATCAAGATTGTCATCCTATCCTCAAGATCAAGGCACATACAATAATTCGTGGACATGGGGTGAAATTTCCATTATTACCTCGGAACAAATTAAGGATTTGAACAATACATTTCAGGGTCAAAAAATAAACTACCAAGTTGTTGAAAAAGAACCGAAAACACGATATAGAGTTTACACAAATAGACATGCAGATAGTAATTGGCAAATACATAATTATGAGTTCTTATCAAATCATCCACTAGTACAAAGCTTGCGACCTGGTGATCTTGTGGTACTTTGGATTAGATCTCTACATCCAGGTTGGTGTAATTATATTAAGCGAGCTGATATCAAAATTTACTACACCGTTTAGAATTATTTTATGATACAATTGAGTGGAATTTGACGAAAAATTAGATACTGCATCTGATTTAACAATATTCTGCCTCTTTCTGAAACTTTAATAGTTTAAAATATTATATATATATATGAATATTTTTGTCGAACTCTCGGCTATATTTATTATTTTAAATCATATCATATTCCTATTAATTACAAATTTTTATAACAATTTTGTATATTTATACAGTATGTGTTAATGTTGCTTTCAAATGACGTCTATTAAAATTAATGTGAGTTTAAAATTTATACCGGTTAAAATGTAACGTACATCAAATTTTAATGTAAGTTTAATAAAGTATTTTAAACATATATTTTTTTTATTTATTTTCTTTGCAACATGGCATCGAATATTTCTTAATTTTTTTAAAAAATTGTTCCAACTATATAAATAATCGAAAAAATAAAGAAATAAAATGAATCGTTCAAAATATGATTACTGTCTAGCTGTTTTACAAAGCCAGTCAATAAACTTGAAAGCCTAAGCTTTAAATATTGGATTTCTATTACCTTTAAATTAGTTAGTACTATCAAAGAAATAAATGTTCAATCAGATAGACATAACAGTGGCACTCAAGTCATGGAAAATGTAAATATAGAATTAAAAAGTATAAAAAATAAAATTATATCGTGATTGCTTTATAGTAATATAGTAATAATTCTGTAAGACACTGATGACTTTTCTGATATTGACATAATTCAATGAGCAAAATTTCTCTTTATGAAATGCTAGTATCCAATGAAACATAGTGTGACTAATAAGACCTCTTCAAAATATCATGAACGAAACGTCTAATCAAGAAATTGGTCAATATTAGTGATGCAAAAGTTTCTACTGCATCACTAATCAAGATAAAGAAGAAATGGTTGCTATGTAATTTAAAAAAAAATTGTGAAAGAGCTGTTCTTGTCATAAAAACAATGCTTTTGCACTTTCCAACGTGGCTATGTTCGTTGAGGTACATGCAAAAATCTTTCTTGACTAAATATCCTTTATATTTTAAAGACTTCTTGTACTAGCAATTAATAACATAGTAAAGGTAAGCGTGAATGGATAAATATCGATATAATTAATATCGATATATAGTGTAACGATTAATTTTTCCTGTGTCTCCTCACTTCCGTGTTTGCCTAATTCTTTAAGTTGTCACTTACCTTCCATAATTGTACTATCATGGCCATGTTAATATTACCTTAGTAATATTAGGCATTATAATATATTGTTGGAGGCTTAAATCATGCAACCACGAATACACGGTGGTTGCATTGTGGTTACCGCGAATACGCGGAAGCTACCGTAGTCGTTATGATCGCGTTCTAAAAAATTATCACGTATATAAGTGCTTGCTCTCATCCTTAGTTGAGAGAGAAAACGCTCTCTAAATTCCTCTCCTAAATAAAGATAACATAAGTTCACATTCTTTTTATTATAAATGCCTAATAATCATGAATATCCGAATATCTAATTTATTATGTGACCCTCTTAACATCAACCATCGAAGTTAAACTTGGAATGAAAGTACCAAGTACTCCTTTACGATGGTTGAAATAATATTAAATAAAATTTTTCGTGCAATTTATTATCGATCGGTAAAGTTATACCGATTAGAATACAGCGTACCTAATTTATATCGTTTAAAGTCTTTCAAAAAACAAAAGCGACACATAAAACTTCATAGAAGACATTCGACTGATTGGCTGATGTAATAAATTATCCAAGTCACTTTAAAGTATTTACCAGAAACGGAATACGAAGTACGTAGAGTATGGTTTACCGGCGAGTGAAGTGATGTATCTCTTTGCATCTGATTAGGTAATCCATCTTCATGACTTAGTTATTGAATTTCTATACTTGTAATATGAAGCCTTTTTCCTATTGACACATGCATGTGTTTAAAATACTTTTTAAATTGGGCGCTGCGTAATCAAAGGATTATTCTTGACTATTATCTGTTATGATAATATGCTAAGTTCCGATTTAAAAAATAAAAATTTACTATTTTATTATCGTGGATTTTAACCATGATGATACATACATTAACTTCTTTTGTTCACGGTTCTGCCGCTGAAGGTTTTAGTGCTTATAAAAAAGAATATCCTACAAATTTTTTTTAAACAATAAATAAATATTTCTCAGTGACTACCTAATAAAATTCGATAAATTTACTTTTATTTCGATTCTACAAACACGTAGAATTAAAATAAATAAAAAATTTCATCAAATTTGGTTAGACAGTCCTTGAAAAATCCTTGCTTAAAGTTGAAAAAAAGAAAATTTACTACACTTTTTGATTTTTTCAAAGATTTTTAGCTTTTTTTTCAAACTTTAAGCGAAGTTTTCTCAATTACTATCTAACTAAACTCGATAAAAAAAAAATTATTTTAATTCTATTAACTTATAGAATTAAAATAAAAAAAAATTTTCTGAAATTAGTTAAGAAATATTGGTTTAAAGTTTTAAAAAAACCTCTAAATTTTAAAAGGATTTTCATGGCCGACCATCTCCCGACATATTTCAACATATTCCGACCCGGAATTTTGGGGATCCCCCTCTATGAGTTCTCTATGCTACCTTGAATGACATGACTGGAAGTTGCGGCTGGAGTATTAACCATAGCTACCGAGACAAAATTAGACCGGTAGATGCTCTATTTTGATTGGCTAAGTGCGACGATCAAAAAATTAGGTCGGAGTTACTCATAATTTTACTAATGAAACCATAGCCGCCCATTAAGTGAAAATTGTTCCTGGGCCAATTTTAACATAATACAGTATTATTTTTAATAAGAATTCTATTTTTGTAATGAAAAAAATTAAAAGTTAATTCCGGCTAAACAATTTTGTAATGTGGGCCAAATTTTTGAAGATCCTCGGCCGTTAGCCAATCGAAATCGAGGATCTGCCGGTCCAATTTTGTTGCGGCAGCTATGGTTAATGGCTGAAGCTGCATTGCGCCCCATGTGTGTAATGCAAGGTTGTTAAATTGTGACTGATTAGATCCATTAAACAATATATAAAAAAAGCAATACCAGGAACGGAGTGATGCATATCACGTAGTATATGGTTTATAGGCATTTTTAGTGATGTGCGTCCGCAAAATCTCGTACATACGTAACTGATTGGACAATGCATTAAATGCAATGAAACGTGAAATTCTGCACTTAAACTTCACAATATTGCATCACATAGTACTATATTTATATATATAGTAGGAGATTTGTTTAACCATAATGAACGTTCAACCTGTATTTTTTATTGCTTTAACAGGTTTTTGTCTCAATTAAAGTGAATGACGATCAATGCTTTTTTTTTATTATTGTCCTTTGGAATTGAACTAACCAAATATGAATTTACTATCAAAGCCGTTAACGGCTTATTCCGAAGCTGGTTTAGCTGAGGCTTTTTAAAGTCATAGCACTATTCTCCAAATTTCTGGGTCATAATGGCAGGAATATGTTGTTGTTAGGATCAGGATTAGAGTTAGCAGGAGCTATAGGCTATAGTAAAATTATCAGCTAGGCACTTTTTACTTAATGAATAACTATTGTTTCATTAGTAAAATTCTTAGTGATCTTGTGGCAAAATTGATCGACCCGATCCTTCTGACCGGGGATCCCCTGTGACTTGTGTCATAGCTAGAATATAACTTAAGCTTGACCCAAACTGTGATAGATTACTATACGAATACAGTACTGCAGTATTATTACAATAATAATGATTTTAAGGCAATATAGTTTTTTAATATCTTTAATAGGATGAAATTTTCTACAAAACTTTTCGTCTTATAATGTCAGATTTTCACATGATATTTTTTATTTAATCGGTTGAACATATATATTAATTAATTTCTCATTTAAATTTTATTTGTATTGATTTAAAATTCTCTCAAACATATAATTAATAGATCAAAGCTCAATTTTTAATTTGTGGAAAGTAGTTTAACTGTAAGTAGGTTCATTATCTCGATGAAAAAAAAGTTCGAACCCAACTTTTTTTTGCTCTGGTAGGCAATCTGCATTTTGCGATATGAATCTTTAGCAAAATTATTGTAAGGAATGCTTTAATTAATCATAGTACATATACATGATCTCAGTAGCTATCCAACCACATTGAAAGCACCATTAGTTTCAAGTTTAGTAATTATTTATTTTTTAATTGATCTAAGTATTTAATATGAGCTGCTTAACTCTCGTTTAGCTTCTTATCCACATTAGTCTGTATAATTATCATCTGCCAAGAACATTTCTAATTATGCAGATTA